CAGGTTACACCTGGCTGGGGTAGCCCTTACGGGTATTTAATTATAATTCCCTGAGGTTGAATGGGGTATCTGGGATCTGCCTTCAGGTAGCAGCTCAGAGGGGACAAACTGATTCATTGGTCAATGAATACTTCTAATGATAATGCCCAGATCACAATGCCACTTGTGACACTGTTGCTGGTACCTTTCTGTCTTCTCAGATGATTGTGTTATGATAAAGGGAGACATGGCAGTCATAGCTCATGGTGTTGAGCCATTAAGATCAGAGATGAAATTCCTCCTTTCCCTAGCTCAAAACCTGGCCCCTGGCGTACTTCTGTAGTAATTCATTTGACGAGAAAACAAAATATGCCAGGCAGTAAATTTCGCAATATTTTTGTTTGTATTAACATTATTTCAGTCATCACATGGTGTTTTGAACTTTATAATTTTGTTTCAAGGGGAAGACTTGACAATTTTGTCATAAATTTATCACTTAATCCTTACAAAGTTCAATGCCAATCATATCGCCAACCGTTGATTGCTTACACCTTGCATATTAGTAAGGTGGTTTCTGTTTTAAGAAAGCCATATGATGAATGGAGTAAGTAATAACATGTTGAGTTGCTAGTTATAAGATGATCAAGAATCCTGTTAGTGGCGGAGGGGGGGGGGGGGGGGGGGTAGACGAGTGTGTGTTCTTTAGTTGCCTTTACTGTATGTATGTTGAGTGTGTTCTTTAGTTGCCTTTACTGTATGTATGTAGTATGTGTTCTTTAGTTGTTTTTACTTTATGTAGGTTCAGTGTATGTTCTTTAGTTGCCTTTACTTCATGTATGTTGAGTGTGTTCTTTAGTTGCCTTTACTTTATGTAGGTTGAGTATGCTATTTAGTTGCCTTTACTGTATGAATGTTGAATGTGTTCTTTAGTTGTCTTTACTTTATGTATATTGAGTGTGATCTTTAGTTGTCTTTACTTTATGTTGGTTGAGTGTGTATTCTTTAATTGCCTTTACTGTATGTATGTAGAGTGTGTTCTTTAGTTGCTTTAACTTTATGTAGGTTGAGTGTATGTTCTTTAGTTTGCTTTACTGTATGTATGTTGAGTGTGTATACTTTAGTTGCCTTCACTGTATTTTTATTTGAGTGTGTATACTTTAGTTGCCTTCACTGTATTTTTATTTGAGTGTGTATACTTTAGTTGCCTTCACTGTATTTTTATTTGAGTGTGTATACTTTAGTTGCCTTTACTGTATGTATGTTGAGTGTTTGTTCTTTAGTTACCTTTACTTTATGTATGTTGAGTGTTTGTTCTTGTTGTGATAATGCAGTCGCCACTGTTATTGTATGTGGTGTGAAAATGCAGTCAGAAATGAGTATGTTGTGATAATCCAGTAGCTACTGTCCCAGCATATGTATATTTTGTGATTATGTTGTCATTACTGCCCTAGAATATGTGTGTATGTTGTGAAATGCAGTCAGTATTGTACAAGCCTACATGTGATGTCACATCCATACATTGAACAGCAGGTTAATTTGTAACCAAAATCCTGCCCTAAACTAACTGGTAAAGGGTTGAACAGGGTTTCATGGGATTTGCACTTGTGTGATTCTCATCACTGAGGTGTTAATCCTACAGACAGCGGTCCTAGAGGAGAATAATTACCACCATTAGAGACAGGAGCAGATTACTGTGCAGTGTAATATGCTTATTGCTATGAGTGATCAAAGTTAGGTCCCTTTAATAAAATGGTTCTCGGGTCGAATGACCCTTTCACAGGGTTCACCAAAGACCATCGCAAAACACATATTCTTTGAAGTTATGAAGTAGCAACAAAAATAATTGTATGGTTGGGGGTCACCAAAACATGAAGAACTGTATTAAGGGGTCATGACATTAGAAAAGTTGAGAACCACTGATTAATAGATGATGAACCGCAAATGAAGCCTTTTACACCAGTGGTAGGCAGTTTGATTGTTAAAAAGGGGGGGGGGGGGGGAGGCAGTTCACAAATGAACTGTTTAATTTTAGGTTAATGTATGGCGATGTTACATAGGAGGGTAAAAATTGTATAGAGACTTAGGCGGGGCTTGGTATCTAGGTTGAAAAATACTGCTTTAGACATTTACATTTAAAAAAAAAAGGTAGTAAACTTGCTTCCTCATATACAAATGTTTGGGGCATATGATGCTGCTGCCATATTTTTACATACTGATAACACTAAATTCATGATGTCAGTGTCCATTTAGCTGCGTTTACTTCCGAAGCATTTCCTGATGTCTAGTTTAGGCTTGTGGAGACAGTTAGCATGTGGGAATGTCCCAAAAGCAGTGATGTCAGTTTTTAGTTTTGGATTCATTCATTTAGTTAAGGCTGGTTTGGGGGGGGGGGGGGGGGGGGAGCTCAGGCCATTTAAAAATCTACCCTGATGAGAATGGATAAATAAATTTACTAGCTGCCTGTAACAAAGGAGTTCAGATCCCAGAATCTGTCAAATATAGTTTCTAAAGTAAGAGCATGTTTTTCTCTTTTCAGGTGGTAGGTAACACTACTCAGTACTGGCACCTTTTTCAGGATAATTTTGGGCAGCGCTACTTAATAGACACTTTGTAGTGTGTTCCGGCACTACTTTTTAGATACTTTGCGATGAGTACGGGCACTTTAATTTCTCGGGGGGGGGGTCCCCTGAGTAAGAGGATTGACTTCATTGCACTAGGTTTCATCAAACATGGCTCAGTGTCTTTATGCAGAGCTGCCTGTCACCCATTGAGCATGTCAGCTAAAGCATGAGCTCTGCAGCTCTAGTAACAACCCCCACATGCTCCACCTTGATTTCCAAAACATCTGCACTCATTAACCTAATGCCAGAATGGAACTCATGACCTGCAGATCGTGAGGCAAACAGCATAGCTGCTTCACCACAGAAACCCAGATGTTAAAACTAGGGAGCACAGTGAACTGCTGGGTCCTTACTATGTATGTTGTATGTTCTTCTGTTCCCTTTACAGGATAGAACGTAATGGATAAATAGACTGCAAGACTTATGTGACAGTTAATGGCTCTACAGGACAGCGAATGAGCAGCGAACTCATGTTGCCTTGCTTGACAGGTAGATAAGTGGTGCAGTTGTGCACCATGAGAATGCAGTTGGAAGGAGGAGTTAGTATCATTGCAGTAGAAAATATTTGTAATTGACAGTATGGGGTGGAAGTTTTCTTGACGAAGTTGAAGCCAGTAGCATGGTACTATGAAAGTCATGGGTTTCTTTTCAGCCTGAGTGTGAACGAGATCATACTTTGTGTGACTTTCTTGGCAACTGGTCCTCAGAGAAAGAGAGAGACTGAGCCATATGGAGTGAAATACAGTGCAGTTGATCCTTTAATCTGTATTTGTAATCTTTTTTTTGTTTGTTTTGTTTCTGTTTAAGAATGTGGTAAATGTTTTTGTTTTCTTTTTTCAAACTTTCCCCCTCCAGATTTGTCTTCTATAGAAATAATATCTCAAGGACAAGAATGATACAGGTATAAATTTGCAGAAACCCCATTCAATCATAAAGCCATATGGCACACATGTAATGGGTGCTCCACAAAATGGTTATGAAGGAACCTCTTCTCCAGTGTAGGTGGGTTGTTGAACAGAGAAGTCCCAAACTCAAAACTCAGTTGAGAAATAGAGAACATGGTTAGACACATAGAGTGTTAGGGGCATATAAAGGATATTTTTCCTTTGTGACAGCCATGGGACGGTTTAAACAAGAAGATGACATCAATACTTGAGCTGCAGTGTTTAATCGGAAATTTCTGGGCTACAGGCAGAAAATACCCAACCATCGCACTTAACTATCTTTGTGAGAATAGCAACTGATCTTATGTGCAAGACAGAGAGGTTTCATTTTCTTGTGCAGTCTAGATAAGGATTATCCTCAGTCAACAGGTTCTTTACAGAATGTCGTTGTCATGGCATGACTGAGAGTCTCTCTTTCTTTAGCCATCTCTCCAGTCCTGTTACCTTTTATAGCCAATAAATTTTAAATTCTTGTTTACATCTTTGTGGAGGTCAGCCTCTGCCCCGGTTTCTGGAGACTATCTTCCATCGCCATTATCTCCAGGTCACCTTGACTTTTGGTTATAATACTTCAGCTTTCAGGACAGGATGCTGTTTATGAGCCAGTTCTCCTTGATGTTCAGATCATGTAGGATCTTGTTGTTTTTCTTCTTAATCCTTATCCTGGGTAAGGCTGTTAATTTTAAAGTATTGACTCAAACAATATATTGTACAAATTTATTACACGGTGAATTTAAACTGTCTCACATCAGATTTTTTTTTTTTTTTGGTCCGGGTCGGTCTCCCCACATGCCCAGCCTGGACGCCCGACCACCCGAAGGATATTACGTCGGTAATCCAGGCTGAACGGGGAAACCGCCAGGCAGATTTTTTAAGATGGCATTGCCGATTGGGTTTCTCCCGTGATTTGTGGATGTGACCGATCCCGGGCTCTTTTGGCCAGACCAGTGCAGCAAAGCTACACTTTAGTCTTAGCCAAAAGGCCGAGAAGCGATCACATCAGATGCTTTATTACTGAATCTGCTCAACATATAGTGAAAAAACTAAGAATTAGTCCTTTTCATTAATACAGTTATCACATTGTTTCTGTAGACTATACATCTGACCATGTATTTCTTTTCACACTTTGTCTCATGTTTGCTTTAGCAGTTTCAGTGTTTGTCTCATGTTGATTAGTAAGAAACATTTTCACAGCCCTCTGGTTAGATCCATAAATTCTCCATTCTTCTCAAAAGCTCTCCATGTGTTTCTACTTGAGTGGTTTTAATATTTATTATCTTCAAATTATTTCCCTTACTTTTTATGGAAAGATACCTAACCTTACATTTATTGTCTTCAAATTATTTCCCTTGATTCTAGATAAAGGGTCATTGCATGATTTATTATAAGATATTAATATTCATATCATTTAAAGTTATTCTGATATCTGTTTACAATTACAGAATAATCACCCACAATGTCAAGTACATTGGTTTCAGAGTCGTCATCTGCTGCTTCAGGGAGAGAGACTATACCCGCAGGTCATCAGAATCACCTTCACATACAGACATCCCCTCAGACAAACAACATGGAGAAACCAAATTCTCATGGCTCCAATCCTTCCTCACCACAGCCCATGTCTCCAGACCCCGTCCACGATTTACCACCGGAGTTATTGCAAGCAGGCTGGAGAAAGTTTTGGAGTCGCCGAGAAGGTCGACCATACTATTTCAACAAACTGACCAATGAATCTTTGTGGGAGACTCCCAGCCTTGGAATGACAGTAAGTACTGTGTGAAGTATGGATACAATTTATCTGTATTAATAAGGAAACAGTTTAACACTTACAAATACAAGTTATATAGGGAAATAATACAAGCCTCGTTAACATGAACTTGGTTAACATGAACAAAATTTGACCCCAGCAGAGATTGTTGTTATTAATCATGGTTAGCACCAATTATTTTAACACAGACGCATGATTTTTCAGTTCTTTGGAATTGTTGTTTATGAAATTTTACTATAGTCCAACATAAACCTCATGTTTAAGTTTAGACGACGTATCAACATCATGGCACAAGGGTAGTAACCCATAAGTGCTCTGTTCTACTTCTAACTCAAGCCTGAGTCGGAAGAATCTCAGGGCAGTGCACGAACTCTGTAGCAACGGCAAGGATCTTGAAATACTTTGGGTAGATTTTAAACTCAAAATTTTGCCCGGGCAGTGCCGTTAGGCTACTTTTTATGATTTCCAACTGCCAAGGGATTTTTTTTTAACATGCGCAGCAATACACATGGGCATCTGATCTTACTACCCAGAGACCAGGGTAAATTACTAGAAGAACGTGAAAAAATCCCAGCCTTTACCGGGGCTTGAACCCGGGACCTCCAGCACTCAAAACCTTGTAGCCCCCAAACCTCAATTCAGATTGCCTATATTAATATGGAAATAGCTTAATACGTATAGATTGTAACTTTCCAGTGGAAAGTCCTGTTTTTTTATTATAGATTGTAACTTTCCAGTAGAAATTCCTGGTTGTTTGTATTAGATTGTAACTTTCCAGTGGAAATTCCTGGTTGTTCATTATAGATTTTAACTTTCCAGTGGAAAGTCCTGGTTGTTCAATATAGATAGTAACTTTCCAGTGGAAAGTTCTGGTTGTTCATACACTTTTTTTTTTAATTTGGCCTCATTCTAGGAAATGAATGTTGCATACAGTACACATTTATTTCACATATCTAGCAGTAAAAAGATCTTATTTATTTGTGTGCAGACTGCTGGTTACGTTCCTAGGACAGATGCACTCCAACTATGAAGGAACCATGTGTCCTATTGACATCAGCCAGGCCCCCCTGGTTAGGAACCTGTGTCTAACTGGTTAGGAACCTGTGTCTAACTGGTTAGGAACCTGTCTCTAGGACGACCTCGGAGAGGTGTGGACAGATCTTGACCAGTGTGAGTCCTGATGCACTGCCACACATGGTTCCCCAGACAAGTAATCAGTCTGTAGTGTAAGTGAAAAGATATAAAACCATACAAAAGGTAGAATCAGTATCATAAACACAAAATGACAAGTGAACGAGAGAGCCTTCTTAGCGCATTATATAAATATTTAAAATGAACAAAAATTCTCAGAATCACTAAATGGAAGAAATCATATATCTGTCTGGGCGGTTGAATCTCTTATGTGTGTGGCCACCGGACATAATTACTAGCCCAAAAAAGCTGTGAATGCTAGGGGACCTCTTTATCGTAAATAAGTTGACCTGTTGTATTCTTTGCAGCATGACCCACTAACAGATCCCCTAGGCATCAACACGGCAGACACCCCGCCCCCTACACCAGTACCGGGACCCCTGGACAAGAGGTTAACCCGACCCAGCACCGAGATCAACCCAGCCGTGGCTGCCATGAAGCGAAGAGCCAGTTCAGAGTTGTGTGTTGGAAGTCCACTAAAGAAAGCACAACTAAATTACAAGTATGTTGTGTTATAATATTCTGTGTAGTCTGTCTTCATACGATGTTAGAAGGAAAGTTCTTATAATTCCAATCCTAATGAACCTGTGAATCATGGACAGTTAGCAGATTAATTAAAAGCTATGTTGGCGAGGCAGAGATGTGGTTTTAAAGACTAATGAAAAGAACACCATGGACAGGTAGAAACATTAATGATGATGAAAGGAATTAACACACAGATTGAACTTATTACCGTCATCAGAAAGAGACAGTCTATGTTCTTTGGTCATGTCATAAAAAGGGACAAGCTGGCATAGATTAGGACAGTGGGAAGGTTAGAGGCAGATAAGGACAGAGAAGATGCTGGACTGTTTATCATGGTATGGAAGATCATCTGTGTCAGAAATGATTGAAAGTGCACAAGACAGAAGGTTGTGGAAAAACATGAACCTCAACTCCACAAGACATAGACTATAAGAAGAAAAAGAAGGATCAACAAATGCTCAATGAAGTTGAATGTGTGGACTGAAAGGCACAAATATCGCAGCTCTGCTGTAAACAGGCACAGTGCTATCACATCACTCAGATGAACGAAAAGAAGAAGAAGGAGATGTATAAATCATCATAACCATTAATTATTCATATGCCACCAAGGACTCAGTTCCTCCATACTTACAGTCAGTTCCTCCATTCCCCTCAGTCCTATTCAATTATTTCAATATCACATGTAACAGAAAAATTTAAACTCATGAACAACAACCTCCATGCACAGAATAGCAAATAACTTAACCAAAAACCGACTGAAAAGACAAAGCTTTCACCATCTATCAAAATTATTCTACACAAAAAACAGTGACATCCTTTCTAAAGATCCTTCAACATGGGAAATGATCCAGGCATACAGCATAGACCTACAGCCTAACTATACAGTCACAACAACATTTCCAGGCATAGACAGAAAAGCTGAAGAATGTGACCTAGTACTGCGTGCAAAGACCCCTGAACATGTCTACAACTGTTATCCAAAACCCGAATGGACACATGTTTACACCGATGGATCATTGGAGGGAGCAGACAAAAATGGAGGAGCTGGATCGGTCATCATTCTGCAAGATGGGACCACAGTAGAAACGTCATACGCCTCCGGAAGACTCTCAACAAACTTCAGAGCAGAGCAGCAAGCATTTATTGATTCAGCCAAAGTGTTTGGGGAAAGAAAAATTAAAAACAGCAAAATTGTTTTCCTTTGTGACTGCATGTCAGTGCTCCAGGCGACTCATAGGGATCCACGAGACAACATGGAAAGAGAACTGATGCGTCAGCTAAAGAGAAAATAATCAAATTGTTCTCCAGTGGATCCCGGCTCACTGCGGCATACCAGAAAATGAGTTAGCAGACAGACTTGCAAAAAATGGAACAAAGGAGAAACAACACGCCCATTCATTGTCATTACCAGAAATCAGAACACTTATCAAAGGAAAATACAAGGGATTGTGGAGAGAACAAACTAACAGTAAACATCCACAAGACCCCATCAGCAGACTCAACAGAAAGCAACATAGAATGATTTTCTGTCTACGAACAGGACACTGCAGGCTTAACTACCACATGCATGCAATAAAGATTGTACAGTCCCCACAGTGTGCCTGTCAAACAGGACCCCAAACACCTGAGCACATTTTGCAGACCTGCCCACTCTACCTGCAACTACGAAAAGACACCTGACCTCAAGAGCAAAGTGTGCAGAGCAAGCTATGGGGAACCATGCAGGACCTGCAGCTGACATGCGAGTTCATGCGAAGAATATCATATGTAGAATCCAGTTTGTCATCTTTCATTAATGCTGAACTGTTGCCATCTTTTTGTTTGTTTGTTTGTTATACCATCGGTGATACCAGTGGTTTTTTAGGGATTTATCTCAGGATTTCTTAGCCTTCTTGAATTCATCACATTTAGGATTCATCAATTTTCCAAGGCATTTATTTTCAATTGTATTCAACTTTCTGTGTTCAGCGGTACTGCAGCTTTCACTGGTGCATGTTTTCAATGCAATAACATTAGAACTGAAATATTTGAAATTTGGTTGTAACCATATCACCACAAGAATTGCAAAACTGACACCTACAGTTGGGGCCAATTCCCCCTAAATGTCACTTTTATGACCCGTCTGTAGTGATCAATTTACGAGACATGTAGTTAATGACATTGGCTGTGTTCATGCCTGTGCACACTTTCAAGAGGTCAGGATGTGAATATATTAACTAAAAATAGCATTTTTTGGTTTATTGCCTTTATAATTATGAAACCTCCATTAGATTAGCGTTTGCAAAACTTGTGGCCAAGAGAAACATCGGTGCAAGTCAAACTTTACAGGTTGCTGAGTGAAAAGACAAAAGACAGTAAAGTTCATACTAGAGACAACATTGCAGATATAGATAATCTATTTCAAGCGAACGAAAGAACAAGAAGATTAGCATTCTGGAATACAATTTTAATGGCCATGGCAATGCTGAAGTTAGGCAAGAGAAGGGACTGTAAAATAAATGACTGTATAGGGGCGTCATAGATCATTAATACAGCTCTGCTCTCAGATACTATGATGTCATTTATTCAACCATTGATGTGTTGTCAGATGTCTCCATTGACATGTCTTTGTTCACAGGCCATTCTGGAACTTTGATGTGCCAACAAATGCTGTGATTAGAGAAAGAGCTCCTCTGCACATGGCACCTCCTCATCCAGATGTGGAATCTTTTCGCTTTGCCTGTGTCATGAAGCTGAGGCAGATCTATCAAGAGTTGTGTCAGTCCCGAGAAAGTGAGTCTTCGACCACCAGAGACCTAACGTTATTGATGTTTTTGTTGTTGTTCATGTTGGATGCATGCATGTTAAAATTAATGTAACATTTGTTCTAGTTTCAAGTGACATTTAAGGTAAACACCCTTCCGGAGGCTTAGAGTATGATCTGTTACATGGTGATTAATTTTAGCCACAAAAGTGGACTCAAGGGGCTGCACATTATCATTTGTAGAGAAATCTAAAAGGTTTTTCGAGATTAGCTTCCAGTAGTGGAGTGGCTGGCCAACAGTTAGAATGCTGGGTTCTCAAGCAGAAAACCCTGGTTCGCATCCTCAGTAAGGCTGGGGATTTTTTCCTAAGGAGGCAAAATAAAATCCCCACCTGCACAGTCATGACGACAGCACTAGCCATGCGGCCGTAAATCCTCCGGTTCAAAGACCCCTCCCCCTCCCAGACACACACACACACAAACCGCAAAGTGGTTAAAAAAAAGGCAATAATTTCCAGTTTTAGCTTCCAGCATGGTCGCAATATACTCAGTATAGCTGACATTTTTTGTAAGCTAATATCTTATCAACCAGTTCATTGTCAACTACCATCTTTGGCACATATGTTCATAATAGGATGTCTTAGCGCCTGAACTAAGATTTTTGAATTTTGTTAAAAAGTCTTTTATGGAATGTTTAAAAAAACAAAAATGAGTTTTTAAAAAAAAAGCTAATAATTTGTCTAGTGAAATAATCTTGTGGGTAAGAAAAAATATTTTACCCTCATTGTGCTGCATTTATCCAAGTTCAGTCCTTGCCTAATGGGGTTAAGAACATCCATGGCAAATTTCTGGTTAGTTAGGCATTAAATGTTAAAGTTATCCTATCTGGAAACTTGACAACATCCTCAAAAACAAATAAAAAACTTAAGTTTGTGTGGAAACGTTAGAATGCTGACTGACCTGACCTGGGATCTTCTGTAGAAACCAAGTCTGCAGCGCATGTTGAGTATTCTGTGGGCCTTGTTCACATGGGTCAAGTTCTAAATTCACTCTCAAGTTTGTGTTCATATGGCTGTTCAGTCTGTTGTATCCAGTTCTCTAGCTAAAATTCATTGCTGCAGATATAATGCGGCTTGCATTCATTTCTGTGATTGGCCTTCTTTTTCCAGTTGTTGACTCCAAGTGTTTGTAGGTCTGCCTGAATATTATCTGTTCACTGCCTCATGGTCTGCTACCACTAAAATCTTTTGTGTACTCAGTGTTTGTCTCTCTGTGATCTTTCTTGGGATTTTTTTCACATTGACTTCTGGTAATTTACCATGGTCTCTAGGTAGTGAGATTAAACGACCTTGTGTATTGTTGTGCACGTAAAAAAAAATCCCTTGGCAGTTGGAAATCACAAAGACTAGCCTAACCGTTAAAAATCTACCCAAAATATTTAAGGATCCTTGCCGATGCTACGGAGCCCGTGTACTGCGTTGAACTACTTCAAACTCAGACTTGAATTAGAAGTAGAACAAAGTACTTACGGGTTACTACCCGCGTGTCTTGATGTTGATGCGTTGTCCAAACCTCTCTGTACGCCCCACCTGTGGCATCTATTAACCTTTATGATGCCAGTATTTAATGGTGATTTAAACAGATTATGAATTTTATTGTTGATTCTCACTCTGTGTTCTCTACTGTTTGCTTCTTTGATGGGTCCAAAGATTTGTCTTTACTCTTCTCAAAACTTTGCAATAAAGCTGATGCATCAAAAGATGTGTCTTAAGACTCTTCTCAGAACTTTACAATAAGGTTTCATCTCTATTCATCATCATCATGTAGCAGGTCCTTTGCAGAACGTCACTTTCATCATGATCTGCCTGAAAGAAACTTGGTCTCTTGCCAGCTCTCCCACCTCATGCACTTTCATACTCAAGAAGTCACTTGTATCCTGTGCCAATCTTCCTGTTGGTCAGCCCCTGCCCCTCCTTCCTGGTATTATTTTCCGCTATTATTTTTCCCTGTCCATCGTGGCACTTGATATGACCAAAATATTTCAGCTTCCGAGACAGGATGTTGTTTATTGGCCATTCTTCCTTGATGTTCAGATCTTTATTATCATCTCTATTACGGATATACATTGTGGCATAGTCTTAAAGCTAACAGAAAGTTTCTCTTCTAAAGACATTGATGCCCCAGCCGACTCTTTCAACCGATGGTTGCTAGAGAGAAAAGTCATTGATAAGGGCAAGGATCCTCTGTTGCCGTCTGATTGTACACCAGAGTTATCCCAGTCCTTGGTCCATGAGATCATGAATGACATCCCCATCAAGCTAATCACACCAAAGTACTCCGAGGATGCAAGGAAACAGCTGTACAAGTATGCAGACGCAGCCAAAAAACTGATTGCATCAAGGTAATGTCTGTCAAGCCTTGATGTGTTTTACAAGTGTTTATTGTTTAGGAAAACACTAGGAAAGTATTTTGAAAAAAAAAATGCAGCTACTCACCGCAAAGTGTCTTATTACAACAGCGCTGAATCCCTGTATAGGTTCAGGGGCTTCATTGTGGGAAAACAAAAATAGACCCACTGCCTCCCCAAAAAGCATTTCATAAGAGTCGACTAATTACTGATTTTCTGTTAAGTCAGAATGCATCTGCCTGAGAGGCAAGGAATCAAGTCGGCATACAAATAAACTATATCTCAGGTTCTGGAACAAGACAAAAGTCCAGGGGTGGATGAACAACCAGAACGTTCCACTAGAGTTTAGAGCTGGTAAACATGTATAAGAAGAAGATCAGCCCTGGAAAATGTCTTTAAAAGGTGCAGGTCCTGTGCACTATTTCGTACCACACACACAAAAATGCCCTGGTTATATCTCCTTACAGAAGGCAATTGAGAACAGCAAGCAGCCTCAAAATGCAAAACTGTTCTCGTACCAGATATGATGCACTGCATCAAGCAGCTCATGTCATTATCTTGCTCACAGTAATTACACAGACCCACATAAACACAGCGTGATGACTAGCATCCCTGTATAAACCAGAACTTGAACAGCAATGGCCAGTAGGTGCAGTGTCCCAGGCCTTTGGACAGAGAATGTCCTTTCTGCCTTGTCTCTAAATCACTAGAACACATTCTACCCTGTTCAAGTTGCCTGTAAGTAAAGTAAAGGTTCTTTTCAACGACTTTAGACCTATTGGGAATTTAAGGCTAGACCTATATTTTTATAGACTAGTCGGCACTTTCTGGGTGATGTGGTCAGTTATCAGCCTTCCCAGGACTGCACCTGGTACCCACTCATGGCTAGGTCGACCTGGAAGTCAAGGTCATTTTTGGAAAAAAAAGTCCGGCTACACCAGGACCCAAACCCATGACCTTCCGATCCGCAGGCGGGCGTCTCGCCGCCTGTGCCACTCGACTCCCTCAAGTTGCCTGTGTTTGTATCAAATTTATTTTGATCGTTCCGCATTTACATTGTACGTCACCTGACTTGTTCAGCATCTTTGCTTGTTACCTACATATCAATGATATCCCTGCTGTATGTCTGTCTACTCATATCTTTTTGTCCTACCATTAATAACGATTATCTCCTAACTGAAATAATGATTGTTCATCATTACTTTAAAAAATATTGGTTTCTATGTCTTCTAACATAACGATTGTTTATGTGTCCTTACAGAAATACAAATACCTCCCAGGAGAGTCGGAAGGTGGTGAAGTGGAACGTTGGAGCTACCTTTAAGTGGTTGCAGGATGCAGGATACAAGGCAACGTATCAGGAGTGCCTGGTTAGTATACACATGTATTTTGTGTACCTTAATTTGAAGCTGAGGTAGCACACTGGCTAGGGCGATTGCCTGGACGTCTGTGTTTAGATCCTCATTGAAATAATTTTATGTCTTTAACAACTGAGGCAAGAAAGAATGTTAAGTGCTGTCATCATCATCATCTTGTGCCCTGCCGACTGGCTTAGGTGCTTTTGATCACGATTCCTGGTTGCCTTGCACAGCTTTCTTGAAGATTTTCCTCCATGCCATCGTTTCAGCCTATCCTGTGTCATCTTTCTTGGTCTGTATAAAAAACAAAAACTATTGTGTGCTGTCTTCTCACTGAAGTTTGATGTCTTTGGAAAATTACCTGTTCGATTCTAGTCTCTTACATGGTATGAGTCTTGTACTACTGTTAAAAAATTATGATAACTGTGTTTTTGTTTTTCAAATAAACCGTGTACAGTGTAAGTCAAAACCATGGTATTCAAGGATAAAGAAATTGTTTAGCACATCACAGTGACTGAAGACAGCTTGACATATGACATTACCACATCCAGCATGAGAATGGAGGTTGAGGCGGTAACTGCAGCGTTCAGTTAGGAGGAGAATATCTCAACCACACATGGTGTCATAGTATCAGATTAGTACAATCTTTGTATGGGTTTCAGGGCCCTGTTGTGGGGGAAAAACAAGAAAAGATCTATTGTCTCCCCAACAAGCATGTCGTAGGAGTAGACTAATTGGGAGCATCTTTTGAAGTCGGAGTGTATCTGTCAGAGAGGCAAGGAACCAGGAGTGTGCATAGAAATAAGCCAGATCTGTAAAATGAATGTGCACGCGGTATTCAGGTTGGGGAACAAGACTTAACACGGGAGGTGAAAGAACAACTAGAACTTTCTGCCAGAGTTTATAGCCAGTGCACATGAAGAAGCAGAAGATGAAGAATATTAGCAAAGGCATGCTCAGGAAGGTGGAGTCAGGTTTTCTTACAGTGAAATGGGTTGCATCAGTCCAGAGGCTGCAGGTTGTGATAGTCATGGATATTTTGCCTGGGCAGTGTAGGTGTGTTTGGGAATGAGCAGGCAGATAGGACTGGCCCCACTTTGGTGGTGTACTGCAACTGCTATTCCGACACTGAAAACAAGACTGATCATGCTAGATCATTCCAAGCTTAAATAATCTTTCTCTCCCTCGTATTTTTGAACATTCAGTGCAATTAACTCGGTTCTCTCTCCTTTGGCGTGCTTCCTCCAGTTTGACTGTTTCTCAAAAATTCTTTGTGCATCACACTTTCAACTCGATTCCATTCGCCCAAACTCAAGCACGTAATTTTTGTTTAGTATCTAACCACATTTCCAATGTGAACATCAATTAACAAGGATAAAATGACTCTTTATTTACAATAAGGATCATCTCAGGAGCGTATTATGGAGATTTCTGCTCATGCATGTCAGGTATGAGGGGTAATGTGTGTGCAGAAAGACTGGCTGATGTCACTTTGCTGGGTGAGAAGATGTTTTATGATAAAATGCAAGAGGGTGAAGGCTCTCTAGGACCAAATGGACCTAGCAGCGGAACACAATTATTGATACTCAGAGAGATTGATTTAAATGGAAGCCAGCATGTGTGGACATGTCTTTCAGTGCAGTAATGGCAGTTCTTATTTGATTTATTGATTGATTCACTGTCCGTTGATGGGATCTGAGGCTCCATTTGGGGGTTGAAAGTGTGGGGTAAACCCACTAATCCTTAACCGAGGTGACTATAGAGATTTGCTGAAAGGCATAGGTATTACAGCCTAGCTGTTTACCACAATACAACACACCAGCGTCCCTGTAAGGGTGAACACAGCAGAAAAATAAGAATGTCATTCATTGTAATCAATTATAATCATTATGATGTACCAAACACAGAACCTGTTATTTCCTGAACACAGGAACGACTGACACACTTGAAGCGACAATGTGAGCCGTGCTTGTATGAAGCAGCAGGGGAGTCTGTGAAAGGGATAGTCAGCAAAATCTACAAGCTGTCTGCTGAGAATGTTCAAAAGATCCAAGAGAAAACATGGGAAGTGCTCAAAGAACACAACATAACAGGTAAAGAAACTGTTCTGTTGTTGGTGGCTTGAGATTTTGAAAGCTCATTTATGTTTCACACAGGGCTCACAGTCCATTCTTTCCTGTGAAATCATTTCCATATCATGGATTAAATCCACTCCAGCACCTTTGGCCTCTCTCATCAGTGTTCACTTTAGGGTTTGTCTCGGATGTCCTCATTTCCTCTATCCCTGTTTCCCATTTCTGTACCCGTTTAGTGATTCTCTATTCCTCCCATCTCAGAATGTATCCACTATAGCATCATCTTCTCTGTTTTATAACTGTTGATACTTGTGGTTGCCCAGACATTTCTCTTGTTGCGCTGTCTTCTCTGTCGTAAAACTGTTCATACCAATTGTTGCCCAGACATTCATCTTCCTCTTATTTCTTTGATGCTCTTGACTTTGTCCCATTTTATGTTTGAAAGCTCAGCTGCTACGTTAAGTTACATTGAGTTGAGAACTGACATCATTGCACTCAGGACATTCCCATAAGCAGAACTCCCTCATCTTCAGCAGCCAGTGCAAAGTTCCAGTTCTCATGGTACCAGTAGCATTCTGATTATCTTGCCTTCCCCATGAGTGTTACATATCGGCCAGATCCCTGGCTGTGTTACAAAATATATGTATATGCAACTGCATACATTCATGCATATATATGTATGACTGTGTGTGCATGTATGTATATGTGTTTGTGCATGCATATATATGTTCATACTAAAGATGTGTGTATATATGTGTTATATATTATTGGCACTATGTTAAAGTCCCCTAATTTCCAATTTAACAATTTTTAACCAAAGTGCATTTCAGGGCTGTTATTTGTCTGTTTACTATATGCCAAAGCCACATATGTGAATTCCTACTCTAAATAGGTTAAAGTGAGGTATTACATTTCGAGCAACTAGACAGTTTTACAATATGTAAATGTTCAGACCTAACTTTCTCAAAATAAGGATTTGGCACTTTGACTTTGGCAACAATATATTTGTTTGAGCATGTGTTTTTACTTATAACAGTTTTAACAAAGAAGACACAAACAATAGTTTGCACAATTTATTGTCTGGTATATTTAAGCTGCATCTTGACAGTACTCCAGTAACAATTGAAAATAGTTGGATACTGCAATATACACCTTTCTAGAGACAGTGAAATATGCCAGGCAGTAAATTATTTAGTCTACTTTTTGTGTCTTTATTGTTCAGTTTAAATCTTTTTTGCCAAACTTTACGGGGTGGGGTGGGGGACATTGTTTTGACATATAGTAATGTGGTGCCGTTCACATTTCCAGGCCCAGGATTAGAGTGACTTCCCTTGCCATTCAAGCCTCCTTAGGTACTAAGAAGCATGTGACCTAAGGAGGCATGAATGGCAAAGGAAGTCACTCTAATCCTGGGCCTGGAAATGTGAACAGATCCAGTAATGTTACTGTTCACTTTTATTGTTACTATAGTTTACTGTTTGTTTTGATGTGACCAGAAGGTACGCCTCTACCCGAGCTGACAAATCCCCGCCATACTTACTGCTATTCTGTGCAGCTGAGCATCCCATCTCCAAGGCTTCCAGTCGTAGACCGCAATATAGAAAGTGAGGTGGCTCAGCTAAAGTATAAAAATGAAACACTCAAGATGAATCAGGAGCATTTTTGGAAAATGGTGAGTTTATATTATCACTCTTCTGCCTGCAATCCTACCTCGCTTTTGTGGCTAAGAATAATTTACTTGAATTTTACCGCAATCAGCGATAATGCATGTAGGCATTTTTATGCATGATCTTCTTCTCCTTCTTTACATTCACAGGCTGTGAACTCTGGTAGAAAGTTTTGCTTGTTTATCCTTGTTTTGTTCCAGAATTGGCATTGTGTACATCCATTTTACAGATATAATATTGTTTTTTTTTGTTTTTTGTTGTTGTAAGTAGAAGGCTGTCGGCTACTCACCTCTCAGGCAGATGCAATCATGCACTCTGATTTAGAAAGAAATATTCCTGATTAACTGACTTTTATGACATGCTTGTTGGGGGAAGGAGAACCATGTGGGTCTGTTCTTTTTTCCTCTGAAAATGGGACACCAGAACCCATACAGGGACCATGCATGGTCAGTCTTCCAATACAGCAGCCTATCCCCAAATCCTCTACTTTCATCAACCTAGAGGCCTCCAGTGCATCAGCCATACCAAAATCCTCTACTTACATCAACCCAGACGCTTTTCAGTGTATCAGCCATGCCAAAATCCTCTACTTTCACCAACCCAGAGGCCTTCCAGTGCATCAGCCCTACCAAAATCCTATACTTTCATCAACCCAGAGGCCTTCCAGTGCATCAGCCCTACCAAAATCCTATACTTTCATCAACCCAGAGGCCTTCCAGTACATCAGCCATACCAAAATCCTATACTTTCATCAAACCAGAGGCATGTTCATCCCACTAGTTGCAGCAGCCATCAACCAAAATCCTGTAGTTAGATCAACCCAAAGGCATGCCCATCCCTCCAGTGCAGCAGTACCCTGTATTCACCTCTTAATAATGTAGCCACAGGACAAACCAACAGGCGTACTGTTTTAGTTTGCAGATGATTACCTTGATAGATCCCTCAGATGGACTCCATGGTTAGCAAACTGGCACTCATTTGAAGATAACAGGTTTGATGTATGGTAGCTATAGCTTCAGTCTTCTTCTGCGTTTGCTTTCGAAAGGGCAGTTTGCAATTTGTATTGTAGTTTTCAGCAAAGTGATGATGTCTGTATCTTTCAACCCAACACATCAGATTTCTGCACAGTCTGAATTAGTCTCCTTTTATGGCATGCTTGTTAGGGGATGGTGGGTCAGTTCTTGTCCCCTCCAGAATGGAAGGGGTTGGGGAGGGAGGCAGATGTGCATGCCCACGCTCCTTTTTTCCTCAGATAATAGCCAAGGGTTCCACAACCATTTATTTAAATGTATTCAGATAAACCTAGAAGGTCAACAGTGTCTGCCTCTATTATCACACTACTTAGTATACAAAGGCAAGATAGTATGGACAGTGATAAAATATGTTTGTATCAAAGCCACTTGTACTGTAAATATTTTTTTTTCAGGGATAGCTTTTGTGTGTGATTGTTTGAAAAAAAGGGTACTAGCCTTATTCCTTCCGTTGGATGAGGAAATGCCACCTGAAAACCTAATTTTATGGCAGGCCGTTAGTCTTTGTTAGCATCTATTTTAGGCACGAAGTTCAGACAGGTGAGCAGATAGAGCACTGCTCCTATGATCCAGTAGCTTCTGCAGCATGCTTTGTTCTAAACATTGGATTTACCCTGCATTTGAAGTTAACAAACCAGGCTGAAGTTAACACACCCGAATGGGGGGGGGGGGGGGGGGGGGGGGAATCATGCTGCAGGGCAACACATGGTCTGTACCAGTGTTCTTCAACCTTTTTGCACCTGCGGTCCACTAGAACATTGGAAATTGATTTGAGACCCACCTGACAGCTAACGAAACACGAAGCAAAAGTAGATTGCAGTTTTTAATCTGTTAAATCTGATGTCACAAAACTACAGTTGTTATCTAATGGGATATCTGCTGTAGCTTAGGCACAGAGGTTTACTGATTTTACTGAGGCATTGTTTCTAATTTCAGAATAGCTTCCAAAACATCCTGTTGGTTTCTCCTTTTGATTTGCAATTACTGACATGCCTGGGAAAGTCTTACCACACAGACAGGATGTCCTTGAGGTGTTAACCGACAAGGACTTCTCCGTGATCCACGGGTTGAAGAAAACTAGTCTCTGTAATTCTGCCCAGACTTTAGTATGGAGAGGAGGAACTTCATCCCTGGCCTTATTTGATAACACGCTTGATTGATTCCCATAACTAATTCCCTGTAGCATGCCAACATTGTAATTGTTCATGCACGTTATATAGATTTCAGCATAGTTGTTGATATTGCCAGTTGTGTATACTCCCCAGGAACAACTCTATGGTCTCAGCTGTCGAGATGATCCACGGTTTGACAATTTCTTGGCGAGAGTTTGGTGTTTGCTCAAGAGATACCAGGTTGCAGCTTTACTCTGTTTTTAAGTGGTTTTTTGTTTGTTTTGTTTTGTGGTGCACCGTGTGACAGACAGTTGCTACAGTTGTATCACTATCATCATGCAGCAGGTCCTTTCCAGGACTTTGCTCTCATCACTGCCTGCCTGCCTGCCTGAAAAAATCTTGATCTCTCGCCAGATCTGCCAGCTAGTGCACTTGCCTACCTCCTCCTCCCCCCAAGCTGTCACTTGTATTCTGTGCCCGTTTTCATGCTGGTCAGATCCTGCTCCTCTTTCTGCAACTGTTCTTCACAGTTCACTGTGGCGCTTGAGATGGCCAATGTATTTTTGCAGTTGTGTTGCACATCAGCTGACTTGTTCAGCTTGTTTCATACAAGATGCGCTTGTTTCATACAAGATGCGGTTTACTAGCCAATCTTTCTTGATGTGTCAGATCTTTTAGGATTCTGTGGTGTAGTGACTAGTAGTTAAGCCTATTAGTTAAGTGGTGATGTGCTTAAATCCACCTCAAGGCAGATATATTTTAAATATGTAACCCACACTCCTAGGTAATTTTTAAAAAAAAAAACGGTACTTCCTGAAATATCAGTTTTTACGCTGGTGCAGAATTGGGGATCTCAAACCTGAGTATTTAGGTCTGCGTGGCTAGTGCAGTTGCCACAAACTATACGGGTCAGGATTTTTAAAAAAATGTGTGCCCCTGACACACACACAAAAACATCCATTACCTTATTGAGGGTTTGAACCCAGGTCTCCTAGGTTAACTTAGCTTAAACTCGTACTAGAAAGCCTTCTAAGAAGTAAAGGCAGCCAGAGTCATTTAGACCATGTCGCCCACTAAGTACCAGTTTTTGCCTGAACTGTGAGGAACCAACAGTCAGCATACAAGTAAGCCAGATCTGTAAAATGGATGTGCATGCAAAATTCAAGTTGTGGAACAAGACTAAAATCCAGAAGTGGGTCAACAGCCAGAACTTTCCATCAGAGTTTACAGCCTGCAAACACTAAGAAGAATACATAAAAGTACCAGTTGGTCTGTAAGAAATATGAGATGAGTACTGTACACTGATTACACTTCTGCTGTGACTTGAAAATGTGCTTATGTGTGTATTCACACAATTGGCCTAATTCATTTAAATCATTGTGAAGTTGTGAGGAAGAAAAATGAGAATGTTTATGCTTGAATGAGTTAAGTTAGTTAAGAATTGACATTATAGGAATTTGAGCATTCCCATAAGCGTTCAGTTCCCATCTTCAGCAGCCAGCACTGATATGCCAGGATAAATAAAGACAGCATAGAAGAATGAGATAGCGAGTCTCATACCAACCTTCCTTTGTTGCTTCTTATGGCATGCATGGTAGACTATGTTACTAGTATGATTCACTTTTGGTCCCAGGTAGAGCATGGGCTGGGTTTTTTAATGATCTTAAATTGCTGGTGACTGGTGAAATGATAATGGTAATTGATATACGCCTTAGAACAGGACGCAATGGCCACATGTACAGAAAATTTAAAATTGGTGAATCAGCCGTGTGCACATGTGGATTGGCACCTGAGACAACAGATCATGTCCTCCAAGACTGTCCCAAACACAACATATCAAGGCAAAACTTTTGGCCAAGAGAAACATCGGTGCAAGTCAAACTTTACGGGTCACTGAATGAATTACAAAAGACAGTGAAGTTCATACTCGAGACAACATTGCAGATATAGATAATCTGTTTCAGGCGAACGAAGAAAGAAGAAGAAAAAGAAGATATACAAGATCCCTCTTCAGAAAACGTATGTGAGTTGCTGCTCGAACTGTCTACTTGAGCTTTAAAGACGAACCTCATAAAATAACTGGTGAAATTATAACCAGGTTGGCAACAGTCTGTCACAGAAATAATGCTATTTTGAAACTTCCTACTTCACTGACACACTTGCTGGAATGACAGGCATGCATCATAATACTGGACCTTCATTCACTGATGAATCTCTCTAGGTTTCACCCCTTCATTGATTAAAAAAAATGGATGACAGAATGCTGCTGCTTTTTGGTGCATGTCAGAAATGCTGCAGCCATCTTTAAACTGTCATGATGTCACAGTGTTTATCAGCACGGTGATGTCAGAGCAACAATATTGACAGGTTATAAGACAGTAGCATAGTTATTGTCATTTCTATAACACTTGTAAATATATTCATTTGAAAGCCCTCGTAATAATAACTGATGAAATTATAATGGTGACTGCTGCGTGGGTTGTTCTTCTGCATTTACCCTTTTTAGGCAGTTGGCACATTGTGTTGTGGTTTACAGATGAGCTATGATTATCTGCACTTTTTTGACCCAATACATTCAATTTAAGCAGACCCTTAATTATTAGCCATTCTGGACGCTTTTTAAGGGGCAGTGCCCCCCCCCCCCCCCCCCCCCCCCAGTGGGACACAGAACCCACACAGAGTTGCTGTTCTAACTTAATGATAGTCCTTATAAAAACTCTATTGTGTGCTGGGGGGGGGGGGGGGGGGTGCTACGAGAATAGACCCATGGCCCCTCTAGCAAAGATAATTTGAAAGGGTAACTAATAAGGGGCGTTTCCTTTGACATCAGTGTGCATATGAGTAAAAGGTGAGCAACAAATTATCTGCATTCAAAAAAGCCAGATCTGCAAAACAGATGCGCATGCAAAACTCGAGTTCCGGAAGAAGACCAGAGTTCGGACAGAACTTTCCACTGGAGTTTATAGCCATTGAATGATAAGAAGAAGAAGACCAAGGTAACTAGTGAAAAATTAGTAAGTACCATATGAAATTCATTTTTAGAACACAGTTATGTGAGCTGCTGTTCTAACTACGTGGTTGAATTTCTCCCCAGGGTTATTTCGGCAGCGGGGCCAACGAGGGGAAAGGAAACCAGGGTGCTTTGACGCCCGCATTGATGGAGTGCCTTCACCGGTTGTTTGGTGTCACCTTTGAGTGCTTTGCTTCCCCACTCAACTGCTACTTTAAACAGTACTGTTCTGCATTTCCAGACACAGATGGCTATTTTGGCTCCAGGGGGTAAGTTCTGCTGTTTGTGTCTGACTAGATATGTAGTGTAGGAATATTGTGAGTCCTGTAGCTTGACTGAGTAGATCTGTGGTGTATGTATATTGTGAGTGCTGTAGCTTGACTGGGTGGATCTGTAGTTGGTGTATATTGTGAGTCCTGTAGCTTGACTGGGTGGATCTGTAGTTGGTGTATATTGTGAGTCCTGTAGCTTGACTGGGTAGATCTGTAGTTTATGTGTATATTGTGAGTCCTATAGTTTGACTGGGTAGATCTGTAGTATGTGTATTATGTGAGTCCTGTAGCTTGACTGGGTAGATGTGTAGTTTATGTGTATATTGTGAGTCCTATAGTTTGACTGGGTAGATCTGTAATATGTGTATATTGTGAGTCCTGTAGCTTGACTAAGTAGATCTGTAGTTTGTGTATATTGTGAGTCCTGTAGCTTGACTGAGTAGATCTGTAGTTTGTGTAAATTGTGAGTCCTGTAGCTTGACTGGGTGGATCTGTAGTTTGTGTATATTATGAGTCGTATAGCTTGACTGAGTAGATCTCTAGTATGTGTATGTTGTCGGTCCTGTAGCTTGACTAAGCAGATCTCTAGTATGTGTATGTTGTCATTCCTGTAGCTTGACTAGGTGTCTGCAGGAGTGACCAGAAAAGATAAAATTATGAAGTTGTAAAAGAAAAAAGTCACACAGAACCAGTACTAAATTACATGCACAATCCACAGATAAAATGGTTTGCTTTATTCATAGAATGCCTTGCCATTCCATACCCAGCATACACCAAAAGAGGAGAAAGATGTAGAGCAGGAAGTAGACCAAGAGCAAGATGTAGACCAAGAGCAAGATGTAGACCAAGAGCAAGATGAAAAGATAACATAACGCAGAGAAACAGTACAATGTGTCTACAGTTGAAGTGGCCAGAAGAGTGAGAAGCAGAACCTTATATCTCCCTTGACACGGTAAAAAGTGGTAAAAGAGGAAGTAAAGAAGAAAAGGGCATGTTGGTGCATGCAGTAGCCTGCTGGTCAGATGGTCATGATTTTGAATTTTCTTTGAATTATGAGATTTTGGAATGGTCCTTGGCTTCCAGGCCCAGGCCAAAACTTTCCACTGGAATTTATGTGAGGGCTAAGAAAAAGACCAGTTCCATATCTTTACCGTGGTAAATGTGAAGAACAAGAAATATTTTCACCATTTCTCCTGCCTCATTCAGGTTCACCTACTGGGTGTCTTTAATATTCTGTATCCACCTTTTAGATCTAAATGCACCCCAAGAAAGGGAATGGAAGGAAATGTTTGACATTAAGAAAAATGGACGCATGCACATTTGAGTTAGAGAATCTTGCACGTTCTTTAGTTAGCCAGCAAAAAATTTAAATGTGGTGTACTAGCTGACCTCAAGATGTTTAGCTAAGAACTCTGTGTAGGCCTATGCCGAACATATAGGTCGACGCATAAACAAATTTTTATGTGAATGTGGCAAATATTTTTACAAAAAAAAAAAAAATTTCATCGGGTGTATTTGTGGTGACCTGTTGGGTTATTGTCAGGAGTGTTGTCCCACCTGTTGACAATTACATATTAAAGCTTTGTTCAAATTCGCACGTGCCAGATTTTTTTCCCCTTAAAAAATGACATTGACTCCCAGGTCAACCCAACCTAAAATATGTTGTTGTTGTTGTTGGTGTTATCGATCCAGGAGCCAGAAACGCATGAGCTTTTGCCCTCTGGCCCAATGCCATGTAGTGGAACTTGCATGTTTTCACAAGCTGTTTTTTTTCTCTCCTTACAAGGTGTTTGACTTATCTTGTCTCGGAGGGAATAGCATCTAAAATGACATAAAAATGGTTACCAGGTGAAATCCTGGGAAGTAAGTGCTGCCAGCATAATATTGATCACATCACCCATCAAGTGTTGATTGCTGTATACACATACGAGTCTTGCCTCATATGCCTGATGCGCCACTGATGTAACAAACTGTACTTTACTAGTTTCTTTTGGGGGGGGGGGGGGATTTTTTAGGTTTGAACAATCGACTTATACCTCACTGTGTACGATAACAGTTGTTGTTTGTGAATTACATATAGTTGGACCATAATCATTTGACTTTCTGATCATTGTACCTCACAGGCCATTCCTGAGCTTTTACCCAACCAGTGGCTCGTTTGAAGCCAACCCTCCGTTCTCAGACGAGCTGATGGAGGCAATGGTGGACCACATGGAGAGTTTGCTCAGCGAAACAAATGAACCTTTGTCCTTTATTGTGTTCATACCTGACTGGAGAGACCCTCCCCCCGAGGCTTTGATACGACTTGAGAGCAGCAAGTATGTATGGATACGAGAGTTTGGTACTTCAAATGTGTTTGTTCTTTGTAGATACAGGTTGTGTAACTCACTGTGTGTTCCTTGTAGATACACGTTGTGTAACTCACTGTTTGTTCTTTGTAGATACAAGTTGTGTAACTGTTTGTTCTTTGTAGATACAAGTTGTGTAACTGTTTGTTCTTTGTAGATACAAGTTGTGTAACTGTTTGTTCTTTGTAGATACAGGTTGTGCAACTGTTTGTTCTTTGTAGATACAGGTTGTGTAACTGTTTGTTCTTTGTAGATACAGGTTGTGTAACTGTTTGTTCTTTGTAGATACAGGTTGTGTAACTGTTTGTTCTTTGTAGATACAGGTTGTGTAACTGTTTCTTCTTTGTAGATACAGGTTGTGTAACTCACTGTTTGTTTTTTGTAGATACAGGTTGTGTAACTCACTGTGTGTTTCTTGTAGATACAAGTTGTGTAACTCACTGTGTCTTCCTTGTAGATACAGGTTGTGTAACTCACTGTGTGTTCCTTGTAGATACAAGTTGTGTAACTCACTGGGTGTTCCTTGTAGATAACAAGTTGTGTAACTCACTGTGTGTTCCTTGTAGATAACAAGTTGTGTAACTCACTGTGTGTTCCTTGTAGATACAGGTTGTGTAACTCGCTGTTTGTTCTTTTTAGATACAGGTTGTGTAACTCACTGTTTGTTCTTTGTAGATACAAGTTGTGTAACTCACTGTGTGTTCCTTGTAGATACAAGTTGTGTAACTCATTGTGTGTTACTTGTAGATACAGGTTGTGTAACTCACTGTTTGTTCTTTGTAGATACAAGTTGTGTAACTCACTGTGTGTTCCTTGTAGATAACAAGTTGTGTAATTCACTGTATGTTCCTTGTTGATACAGGTTGTGTAACTCACTGTGTGTTCCTTGTAGATACAAGTTGTGTAACTCACTGTGTGTTCCTTGTAGATACAAGTTGTGTAACTCACTGTGTGGTCCTTGTAGATACAAGTTGTGTAACTCACTGTGTGTTTCCTTGTAGATACAAGTTGTGTAACTCACTGTGTGTTTCTTGTAGATACAAGTTGTGTAACTCACTGTGTGGTCCTTGTAGATACAAATTGTGTAACTCACTGTGTGTTCCTTGTAGATACAAGTTGTGTAACTCACTGTGTGTTCCTTGTAGATAACAAGTTGTGTAACTCACTGTGTGTTCCTTGTAGATAACAAGTTGTGTAACTCACTGTATGTTCCTTGTTGATACAGGTTGTGTAACTCACTGTGTGTTCCTTGTAGATACAAGTTGTGTAACTCACTGTGTGTTCCTTGTAGATACAAGTTGTGTAACTCACTGTGTGGTCCTTGTAGATACAAGTTGTGTAACTCACTGTGTGTTTCCTTGTAGATACAAGTTGTGTAACTCACTGTGTGTTTCTTGTAGATACAAGTTGTGTAACTCACTGTGTGGTCCTTGTAGATACAAATTGTGTAACTCACTGTGTGTTCCTTGTAGATACAAGTTGTGTAACTCACTGTGTGTTCCTTGTAGATAACAAGTTGTGTAACTCACTGTGTGTTCCTTGTAGATAACAAGTTGTGTAACTCACTGTGTGTTCCTTGTAGATACAGGTTGTGTAACTCACTGTTTGTTCTTTGTAGATACAGGTTGTGTAACTCACTGTTTGTTCTTTGTAGATACAAGTTGTGTAACTCACTGTGTGTTCCTTGTAGATAACAAGTTGTGTAACTCACTGTGTGTTCCTTGTAGATACAGGTTGTGTAACTCACTGTGTGTTCCTTGTATATAAAAGTTGTATAACTCACTGTGTGTTCCTTGTTGATTCAGGTTGTGTAACTCACTGTGTGTTCCTTGTAGATACAAGTTGTGTAACTCACTGTGTGTTCCTTGTAGATACAAGTTGTGTAACTCACTGTGTGTTCCTTGTAGATAACAAGTTGTGTAACTCACTGTGTGTTCCTTGTAGATACAGGTTGTGTAACTCACTGTTTGTTCTTTGTAGATACAGGTTGTGTAACTCACTGTGTGTTCCTTGTAGATACAAGTTGTGTAACTCACTGTGTGTTCCTTGTAGATACAGGTTGTGTAACTCACTGTTTGTTCCTTTTAGATACAAGTTGTGTAACTCACTGTGTGTTCCTTGTAGATACAAGTTGTGTAACTCACTGTGTATTCCTTGTAGATACAAGTTGTGTAACTCACTGTGTGTTTCCTTGTAGATACAAGTTGTGTAACTCACTGTGTGTTCCTTGTAGATACAAATTGTGCAACTCACTCTGAGCTAACCTTGGATGCCTATTCTCCCATAGTAGAAAGATATTTTAAGTGTCGTCTTCATTGGCATTTGTTTATACGTTGAAGACAAATAATACCAGAGACTACGTGATCAGTCTCAGACTTCCGTACTAATCACATGGTTAATCTCGGAGTTCCACTTGTAAATTGTAAGCATAACAAGAGATGGTGTGATTTGTGTATTTTACTTAAAAGTATGTGGGGATTCATAGCAAATGCAAATGGACGCTGCTTAGTGAAACTTAGACTTTTGTATGAAATGAAAACATCTAGTTTGAGAATGTTTGTGGAGACAGTCACTGCAGTCCTCTGCTGACTTAAGAACTTGCAGCACACACAAGTCATGATTGTAACAGACTCACATAAGAAAGGTGGAGACAGGTTGCAAGCCGTGCTTTAGAGGTCATGGGTAGTTAGCATCCTTTGGACATTTGCTCAAATGAAAGGCATTCCACATGAAAAACACAGCTCACAGGGCTGCACCAAGCACTAAGCTGAATAGCCCAGGCAGCAAAATTGTGCAGTATATTCTTTATATTATCATTCTTTAAATTGATAACCCGAAAACATTGTTTTAATTGTCGTTGCTGTTTCCATTTAAAAAAAAAAGAAACCTTGTTCAGCCGGTTTGAATAGCCTTGTTTATTGTTGAGAGAATGTTTTCTCACTTTGCACATTTGTCCGGTTATTGTGGTCAGTTATTATGTCGTTGGTTTCCTTAACTGTAATCCTCCCTAGTCAGTCTTGACTTTTGCTGATGCAGTAAGATGTCTTATTTCTGATGCTTTATTTCATTCAGTACTCTTCATTTATCCTTTTTTTAATGTTAATTTAGAGGGACTGACTCCTGAGAAGGAAGTCGCCGTGGCATTGGCTGCTAGAAGCCCGTCTTCGAATTGGAAGGTCGTGGGTTCGCATCCTTATGGAGCTGGATTTTTTCTTCAAAAATGACCTTGACTCCTAGGTCGACCCAGCCTTAAGTGAGTACCAGGTGCAGTCCTGGAAAGTAAAGGTGGCCAGCCAGATGCTGACCAGATCGCCAGCCAAATGCAGATTGGTCTAGCCCTATATGCCCAATGCGCCTGAAGGCGTGGAAAAGGGACCTTTACTTTAAATCCCCAGAACACATAACAGACTTGCCTACTGGCATGGGAGATCATGCTTCTCCAAAATACAGCATGCATCAGTTTGTGTGTTGACACCTCCGTGTGCCTAGATACTTACATTTCTTGTCTTTAACTAGTGCCGTTGGTTGTAATTTTTCATTCAGGAACACCTGAGTACACTCTGCAGGCCTGCCCATTATACTTACAACTATGAAGAGAAGCTTGGCCTCAGGAGCAAAGTGTGCAGAGCAAGCCATAGGGAACCACAAGTAACCTGCAAATTTGATTCAAATTCATAGAGGCAACCCTTTTGACGATCTGACCTGAGCTTATAAAACTGAATGCAGAGAAGAATAAAATACATATTGGCACTATAACTAAAACTACTGTGTGTTTTTTAATGTCTATTTATTGTGATTTAGGTGAAATCCTGAAAAGGACTGGATCTAATGCTAACTTGATTTATTTTACAGATTCAAGAGGAAGCAATTCGTCTGTCCTGCCTTTGAACACGAATACAGGCATGGCTTTCAGCATTTACCAAGTGCAAGGTCAGAATTTGGTGGTCCCCTTTATCCTCCTGCCTCCTATGCTGATGTGTGTCCACTTCGTGATACCTTCATGCCTATTTTTGCTGCGACCCGCTGGGTCCCTTTGTCTCCTAATTTTTGTTATTGTTTTACTTCCGTGTGGGAGCGGCCATAGTTTAGTGGCTAGGTGCTTGCCTGCAGATTTGAAGGCTGTGGGTTTAAATTTGAGTGGAGCCAGACTAAAAACAAAAAATATGACCTCGGTTCTCAGGTCGAACCACCCTTAAACGGGTACCAGATAAAGTCATAGGAAGTAACGACGGCCAGCATGATGTTGGCCGATTAGCCTGTAAAATAGTAGGTCTGGCCCCGTACTGTGCCTGAACGCATGGAAAAGAGTACTTTCCTTTTATTTTACTGTATGTATGTATGCATGGGGGTCGCCGTGGCCGAGCGGCTAGACGCTCGCCGCGGATGGGAAGGTCGTGGGTTCGCTCCCTGGCGGAGCCGGATTATTTAAAAAAAAATGACCTTGGCTCCCAGGTCGACCCAGCCTTGAGTGGGTACCGGGTGCAGTCCCGGGAAGTAGAGGCGGCGGGCGTGATGCTGACCACATCACCCATCTTGTGCCGATTGGTCTATAAAAATATAGGTCTAGCCCTATATGCCCTAAAGGCATTTATAAGGGTCCTTTACTACTTTACTATGTATGCATAGAATGAATGAAGGCATTGAAAAGATGGTCCTTTATATTACTGACTTCCAGGTGACTCGGCGGACTGTGGCTAGTTAGCCTGCCAAGGTTCCAAATTACTGCAGATAGCTCGCCCCATGTTGAATGAAAAAAGACTACTCTGTTTGAGTGTTAACATTGTTACTTATCATTCAGTCGGTCAGAGTGTTAACATTGTTACTTATCACTCAGCCTATCTAAGTGTTAACATTGTTACTTATCATTCAACCTGTCTTGAGTGTTAACAGTGTTACTTATCACTCAATGTGTCTGAGTGTTAACATTGTTACTTATCAATCAACATGTCTTGAGTGTTAACATTGTTACTTATCAGTCAACCTGTCTTGAGTGTTAACATTGTTACTTATCACTCAGCTTGATTGAGTGTTAACATTGTAACTTATCACTCAGCTTGATTGAGTGTTAACATTGTTACTTATCACTCACCTGTCTGAATTAACATTGTCACTTATCGCTCAGCCTGTCTGTGTGATAACATTGTTGCTTTCTCTGTTTCTCCTCCCAGAAATGAAATGAATTGCAAGGCCATCTTTGGAACCCTGGTGGTGTTTCTCCAAAATGATGCGGGTTATGCCAGATGGACACCAACAACAGAGAAAATCAAAGAACTTATTCAGGCAACAAAACCAAAAGACCCCGTTGAAAGTCCTTCAACACTGTCCTAAAACTTTGAGCTGCTGCTCCACAACAGATCGGTGTGTGCCTGGAAGGGAGAAAGTTAACCTTAGGATTAGCTGCACTAGCAAAGATATTGGGCCGGTTAACAGCTCAAACTGTTTGTGGGAACTGTCCAAAAGTGCGCAACGGTGCTTTTCAACTAAGTTGACTCAGGTCAAATTGATGAAAACTGGGGATCGTCACGTGCCAGAGGCCCCGAGCCCCGGCATAGAAAGATCATAAATAAAAAAAAAAGTTGGCAGTGATCCGTGGGCCACTTGCTCGGACTCTACAGGCCACATCCGATCTTCGGGTCGCAAGTTGAATAGCCCTGCTCTGCAGTTTGCCAGATTTGACCAGTCTCGCTTCTGGCTGTTCTTGACTGCTGGCGTCACTTCTTTATGTGTGTGAAATAACAGCTTTCACATGGCTAGAGTTGTAGACACATTTCGGAGACATTCAACAACTCTTCAAACTTACAACTAATTGCAGAAACATGACAGTTGAGGTTGTTGCAGGTATACTATGTAAAAATATCAAGCAAATGACAGATAGAACCTGTAAGCTATGCATGATTACAGGCAACAAGTGGATGTTGTGGCTAAAGAGCCTCATCAGCACATTACATAAATCAACAAAATATAGTCACTCAACTGATGTAGTCGCTGTAGAAGTTACATTTATATCTGGCCAGTGAAATGATAGACATGTGTGGTCGCTGAGAATATATGTACTAGCCTGAGAACGCCACTCACAGATATTAGATAAAATTGTTTAAGGTTAAGTGCTTTAGATATAAAATGAAAACATTGTTATCAAATGATTGGCTTCAGGGTTGTGCACTTGAAGCCAGTGTGAGCTTTAAATAGGTGGATTGTGAGTCTGTGAAATAGGAATCAATAGAGTGATCTAACAGAGAACTTGAAGATTGTCACCAAGGAAGTGTGTGTTGTCGTGTATGTATGAGCCTTGGCAGAAATGCTGCTGAGTGCGCTGCGATAGTAGGCTGTTGCTGGACTTAATTAAAATCAAAGATAGGAATGTGGCGAGTCTGTACCAGGTATAATTAAGATGGTTAGCAGTTAAGTAAGGAGGTGCAGCATCAGCATTCTTGGAATTTCTGGTTTCCGAAAAATGAGGCAGAGGCCGACTCCCCTGAAGGTGAAGAGGACATTAAAGATACAAAGCTCTGAAAGCACACAGGGCTGGGGAATTAGCTAGAGAAAGAGGGACTTTTAGGCCTACTGTGAAGAGAGTGACTCTGTAAACTACCAGCTGATTGACAGACAGATTAGCCATCAGCTGTCTACAGAATATTTCTGAAATTTTTTTGGGCGGATCTTGAGGTGTAAAAAAGTATTTTTTGATTTAGTGTCATTTGTAGGACAAGGTTAAAGTTCATCGCATTGTTACATGATGTAAGATATTGCAATGGTGTGCAAGAGCAGCATCATCTGTGCTAGTTAGCAAAGCACTTGAAAATGATAATGTTGATGAATACTTTGGCGTCTGCTGTCATCAAGGTGTGAAGTGTTAGGTCTTCTCATTGTCTAGCTACTGCTTAATGACGTGGAGATACCAGCGCTTCCTCTGCTATGATTGTGTTCACAAAGAAATTCATGTCTGAACATGCAGATTTGTTTACTGAATGCTATGGAAAATGTGGTGGTCAGTACCACACAGTGTGGATATAAGAATAGCCTGTTGAGTCCACCCACACTGGACCTCAAGTTTCTTCATAACTGTTTTGTGGGCTGTCCTGGGAAAGTAAAGACAGCCGGCGTAATGCTGACCACATTACCCACAGAGTGCTGATGGTCTGTAAAAATATGGGACGCTCTGCCCATATGCCCGATGCACCGAAAGGTGTGAAAAGGGAACTTTACTTTACTTTTTTTTAGTATAACTGCTGTATGTTAAACAGGGTTTCCAGGATTTGAAGCTGTTTGATTCTCATCCTTGAGATGTTAATCTTTCAGACTGCAGTCCGGGAGGGGAACGACCACCACCATAAGAAGTAGCTGTAGTGGTGCCCTAATATAGCTGCTATATGATTGAACAGGGTTTCCTCCTGTGTGGTTTCTGGGGCCCCATTGTGGGAAAAACAAGAATAGACCCACTGCCTCCCCAACAAGCATGTTGTAATTGTTGACTGATTAGGTGTCTCCATCAAAGTGCATCTGCCCAAGCAGCAAGGATCAACCGCCTGCACACAGATAAGCTAGTAATATGATGCACACGTAAAACTCGGGCCCTGGCAACAAAGCCATGTCCACATAGACGAACAACCGGGACTTTCTGCTGGAGCTTCCAACCAGCTAACAAAGAAACAAAGAAAAAGAAGAAGAGTGTTTCCTGGATTTATATCTTTTGTTTTTCATCATTGAGATGTTAATTCTACAGACTGCAATCTTAAGGGGAAAAGCGTTTTTTTTAAAAAGGCCTCATTACGAGACAGCATTCCCATCAGCCAGGACTGCAGGTTACTTCATAGCTAAAGCTGTGCCATAAAATAATATTGTTTGACGATTTCATGGGATTTCTGTGATTTGCTGCGGTTTGATTCTCATCCTTGGGCTGCTAATCCTACTGACTTCAGTCATGGATGGGAGCAGTAACCACCACCATAAGGAGTAGCATGAAATTCTCCTTTGATCATTTCATTGGATAGTTGCTGAGCTTTTTACACCATCATATGGAAGCTTTTAGGATGATTAATTTTATCAGCTGATAGAAACTACAGCAGTAATGTGAAGTAATAGGCCTCCACATTGCTAGGTCATGTCAGTGTGTGAGTTGTCTGGTTCTCTTCCTCAGTAGTCTGGTAGTAGAAACTGAACTACCATCACTGCTCTGATGTTAGGAAAATATATCAGTCCAAGCGGCTTGAAAGAACTGGTTATATCATACTACAATCACAAATGACAAAATGAACATTGCAGCTAAACAGTTTTTATCAGCATAACACAGTTTTTATCCTTAGTGAATTACAGAATAACCGCAGAGCATCATTGAACTTTCCAAAAATTATTTTGAGGAAATAAAAGTGTTCGTTTGGAGGGCTTAACTAAAGACAATATCTTATTAACATCTGTTTATGTTTTACTGGCACAAAAACATGACTGCAACATCTATCTAATTTGATTCTCAAAAAGACATATATGTTAGTAAAAGAATTATAAAGGAGATAAGTAACATTCTTTGTTAGTCGCAGAATGCAGATGCCCAGATCATAAATCATTCTGTGAATATAAGCTATCATTGCAAAATACACTCAGATGAAAACATGACTGCAACATCAATCTAATTTGATTCAAGAAGACATAAATGTTAGTAAAAGAATTATAAAGAAGATAAGCCAGTAATTCTACCTGCAATGTGTTAATGTATATTGTCTTTTTTGTTCTGCATTTCCCTTCGTTTGTAACCAGTTTTTGACTGACAGTGAAAAGATCTCAGTCCTTGATGTGATGTACATAGCAGGTTTTAACTGGACATTGAAGAATCCACATTTTCTTTTTTGTTTGTTATAAAAAATTGCATCACCACATAACATGTTTTACATTAAATTATTCATTTATACATTATTCTTCCCATTCATTCTTCCCATTCATTCTTCCCTGGCCCGTCTCTCTGTTAGTCACAATATGCACACACCAAGTTCATAAATCATTCTGTGAATAAAAGCTTTTATTGTAAAATACACTGATCACTTGAAAAAAATTGTAAAATAAATTCACACCATGTGTAAAGCTCCCTGAATGGATTCCAGGAACACCTTTTGGGGAGGAGGGCCGAGGGGGGGGGGGGGGGGGGGGTGTTGATAGGCCCACTTTAAAAGCCATATATTGTAAAAGATGACTATATATTTTCAAAACAGTGTTTCCACGTTGTAAATTTTAACAAAAAAGACACAAACAATAGATTTGCACAATTTAGTGCGTGGCATATTTCACTGTATCTCGTCATGTGCAAACTAAAGTAGCAGTTACATAAATGAATCAAATAAGACAGTGCTTTACAACAATAAGAATATCATCATTGTTGCCACTGGCAAACAGCAAGCATATTTAGTACACACTCTGATGAACCGGGCACACAAAAACATCTCACTGTCCCTACAACATGAATGTAATAACGCAACTGTCTTGTTAGACGTCCTGATCAGACAAATTGAAGATGGCACTATTCAAAGATTAGTATATAGGAATAATACTTGGACTGGCTAGCACATGAACTTTAACAGTTTTGCACCCATCCAGTACAAACGTGGCATAGTGCGAACATTATTGAACCACACTAGAAAGATTTGCTTCAGAACTCGTTATTATCGAATGGATACCCAGTTGGATTTATTAATCGCCACTGCCAGCCTCCTAAACCAACTACCACAGAAACGTCAGTCTCCAAACAAAAAGTCTTCATCCATCTAACCTGTCGAGGGGATGATGTTATGAAACGGCTCAAAACAGCAGCCAGTAAAACTTTCTACGCTTCTTTGCCTATTATCAGGTTTAAAACGAACCCGGTGCCAACGGCCTCTGTGAAACAACCACTGTCGACAAATGCCAGATCAAATTGAATCTATCAGTTTAAGTGTAGCTGTGAAGCTGCTTATGTGGGCTAAGCTGAGAGACGCTGCGAGAAACGAATCGCTGAGTACATTACAGTATGGACGGGAAAAGCCATGCAAAATAATATTCAAAATGAGAATACCGGCCGTAAAGATCATCCCTCCGCAATAGCAAGTTATCTTTTAAAATCTGGACATGCTGTAACCAAGGACAGCGCATTTCAAATCCTTCAGGCTTCAGCCAGTGGCAGAACGCTAAGATTTCTTGAAGCTGCCACGATTCGTCACCTGCACCCTGAACACTGCACAGAAAGATATGGTTCTGACATTGCGGCTGCCCTGGTAAAAAACAGGCAGTTATGTTTTATCGTCGTTGATTTGTACTTCAGTTATAAAGGATTCACTTATCTGCTTCATTTATGTAATTGTTACTGT